AGTAAACACCCAACACATAATAGGAAAATGAGTACAATGTCATTCAAATCATTATAAACTATTGTGGTACATCTATTAAGTAATAATTAACTAACATAATCTTGTTAACGAGGGGGGAAAGTGAGAGCGAAGGGAAAATTGAGAGAAATAAATTAGATTTTGATTTGGGTGGCCACTCAATTGCATTTCTACAATATATTTTTATTGAGCTATACACACTATTATTGATAGGTTACAAATTGATTCACATATTTTTCATATGTGAAGAAATATTTTTGGCGGGGCGGGTATGGGTATGGGTATGGGGCGGGGGAGGCTAAAACCATACACGCCCCATACCCATCAAACTTTTTACGGATTTTACCCATACCCGCCCCATACCCGGTCAATGCGGAGATTCCCCGCGTTGAATGGGTCGGGGGCGGTCGGATACCCGTGGGCATGGATTTGATTGTCATCCCTAGTCATATGATGTGTATTAGTCCCGTAAAGGGTGCCGCTTCCCAGTTAATAAAGTCATACAACCAACCCTATATATTGACTCAGATGCGTTCGTGAAAGAATTAAGTCACTACCACTTTTTTTTTTTTGTTGACAAAAGATAATCTTATATTGATTCCAAAGAAGAGATAGTTACATCCTGGATACCAGCCAGGCCTGAAAATTAAAAGCGCGACTCATAGTCGGGTACAAAGAGAGGGCTTTCCTAGCCACCAAATGGGCTACCATATTGTTACTCCGACCTACGAAACGAATACTAAACCCAGGGTTACCGTCAAAATTATTCACCACTTCCTCCAGTACAGCACCATCCTGCTATCACCTGTATCAACGCGCCTGATCTTGTCAATGACCACTTTAGCATCCCCCTCAAATCTAACAGAGGTTAAGCCTTGTCCCAGACACTAGAGAATAGCCTCACGCAAGACAAGCAGTTCCACCACCGCAGGATCATTCAGGACAGGAAACTGGACCCCTATGGCACTTAGGACGACTCAAGACGGGGTCATAAGTACTAGCCCACCGGCTGAATGAGACCCCCTCCTCGTAGCACCATCCCACCAACAGACAAACTCAAAAGAATCCACCAGACCTGATTCCTGGTTCCCTATCACCAGGACCTGCCGATTGACCTCCACCAGGAGTCTCGCCCATTCCTCATATTGTTGTGTAAACTGCCGCATCAGAGCCGGAAGCCCATATTTTTTACCCTGAAACACCACCCAATTCCGGGACTTCCAGATCCGCCATAGAATCGCAACAATGGCCATCCATAGCGTTGGCTGCTGAGCTAGCGCCAACAGCTTCTTAAGGAACAGAGAAAATGTGTGTCGTGGCAAGCCCTCCCCAAGGTGTTCCAGTCCAGCAGACCCCCAAAGGGCATGCGCCACCGGACAATGCAAAAACAAATGCTCCATGGTTTCAGGCCCTTCCCAACAGACTGGGCGCCGAGATAGAACAGGGATACGCCGACTAATGAGTGCTTCAGTGGTAGGTAAGATCTGACTGAAAACTGCGAAACATACACCTTTAGCTTCGGCGGAATGTTGGCCTCCCACAGCCGTATCCAACTTGCCCTATCCATCCAATCCACCGTCGACTTCCAACGGCCCCTCCTTTTCTCCAAAGAGACAGTAAGATGATACGCAGATTTAACCGAGAACTCCCCATCCGTTGTATCATACCAAATGAGCTTATCCTCCACATTGTCCCGCGGGAAAGTGATGGCTTTTATAACACGGCAAGTAGCAGGATCAAACCACTGATTAAGCTTTTGATCACACCAGTGCCCCTCCCCTTGACAAATTAATTCCACCACCAGAGGGTCACCTCCAGCCGGCAGAACCTGCGGATTATAGCGCAGGGGCTCAAACTGAAACTCCGAGACCCAGGTAGAGTGAAGCCTGGATACCGAGCGCCCATTCCCAACTTGCCAACGTAAACCCATCTCTAAAAGTTGCCGACCAAACAGGATGCTCTGCCAACTCCACGATGGTCTTGACCGAGCCTTCGCAGTTAGGAAATGTCCATTAGGGAAATATTTACCTTGATAAACTTGGGCAAGCATGGATTGGGATTCCCTAAGGATACGCCACCCAATTTTAGCTAAGAGCGCCTGATTAAAATGCTCAAATCGGCGAAATCTCATCCCCCCATCAGGCTTACTCCTACACATGTCCCGCCAGGACATCCACCGCACCTTCGGATGGCCTTCATTCTCACCCCACCAAAATCGGGCAACATGCTTATCCAATAGGCGGCACAGGGACAGAGGTAGCTTGAAACAGGACATCACATGCAATGGTAAAGCAAGAGCAATAGACTTTATGAGGGTTTCCTTAGCTGCCCATGAAAGTGTCCTCTGCTTCCAACCCTGGAGTCTTTTCAACAGTTTGGCTTCCAAGTAACGGAAAGTCTACATCTTTGACCTGGCAATCAGAGACAGGAGACCCAGATATTTATCATGGACCCCAACGGTCCCAACCCCTAGAATTGCCGCCAAGAATTCTTGGTCCTGCTGAACTATATTCCTGCTGAAGCAAACCGCCGACTTAGCTAGATTCACCCTTTGGCCACTCAACTCCTCATATTCATTCAAGACTTCAATAAGGTTTTCACACTCCTGAAGCATGCCTCGCAGGAATAAATAAGAGTCATCCGCAAAAAATAAATGCCACAGTCTTGGGGCACGCGGGGCCACTTTAATCCCAGCCAGTTTTTTCTCTGATATCGCCTTTTGGAGGAGAGCCACAAACCCCTCAGTGCAAAGCACAAAAAGGAGAGGAGGCAAAGGGTCCCCCTGGCGTAATCCCCTGGAGGGAGAAAAGTAGCCAGATGGGGTGCCATTCATCATAACCGAGAATGATGCAGAGCTGAGGCACTCCTTGATCCATCCTACCCAAACAGAGCTAAACCCCAATTTTTCCAAAACCGCAAGAAGAAAAGGCCATTCGACTCTATCATAGGCCTTTTCCATGTCAACCTTTAGGGCCATGAACCCTTTCTTCCCCCGAGTTTTGGTTTTTAGGTAATGCATGAGCTCATTCCCAAGTAAGATATAGTCCACAATTTGGCGCTCCTTGATAAAGGCATTCTGACCTTCCGAGACAACATGAGGTAAGACATTGGCCAAACGTTCTGCCAAAATTTTTGTTATAATTTTGTAAACAAATTGGCATAAGCTGATTGGTCGCAACTGCCTCATTGTCTCCACATTATCAACTTTAGGAATTAATGTGAGCCAAGTGTGGTTGAAGCTGCGGAACAGCCGACCAGAAGTATGAGCAAACTGTGTCAATTACCGAGGGTCCCACAACCATTAGTGTTCTCCAACTTTTTGACCTAGTAGTAAATTCAAATCTATTATTTGTAGTGATTCTGCAAGTATTAGGGTTTTGTACGTTGTAGTAGTGATCTTCAGATCTGTGGTCGTAGTGTTCCTTATTTTTTGGACATTATTTTGATAGTGTTCTCCAATTTTACAGAACCTTGTGGTGTTCTTCAAATCTAGCATAAGTAGTGATTATGTTATAAACGTCGCCGGCGGCGACATAGTATCCCTCCACGCAAACACTCTCTCCATTCACGTTCACAAAAAAAAAAAGGAAAATAAAACCATTTTCCCATAACATAAATGCAAACCATATGTATCCCACAAAATCCGGCTGCTATCCAGAATAAATTTAAAATTTAAAATTTTGTTTCTTCTATCCCTAATCTACCCTCTATCTATTTGTAGCCATTAGATCTGAAATAGTGATGGACGGCTTAGATGTTAGTTAGCATGGTGCTAACCCCCTATGCAATTAGCACCCTAGCTTCTCCCACAATAACCTAATGGATAATTAAAGCAATAAACAATAGATGAAACCTAATGACAATAGATGTAGACCCAACGGACAATAAATGAACACAAAGGTTATTACATGAGAGAGTGGGGTAAAAGAATGACTTGAATCTTCCCTACTTGCACTTGGAGGAGTTTGTGAGACACTAATGAATAGTAACTCATAACCTTGGCTTTTATATATTAATGAGAGAGTGGGGTAAAAGAATGACTTGAATCTTCCCTACTTGCACTTGGAGGAGTTTGTGAGACACTAATGAATAGTAACTCATAACCTTGGCTTTTATATATTAATATATATTAATAATTAATTAATAATATTGGTATAAATGAGCTTCTATACAATGTAATCGTAGTATTGGCATATTGGGTACGATGATCGCATTGCATGCAGGCTCCTATCCCGTGGCGATTACCCTTCTTTCTTGACGTCTTTCCTAAGCCCGTCTCTGCCGGCGGCCAAGTGACAGTCTACGTCGAGGGCCTAACAGGTGGAGCACAGCTCACAAGCAGTACAAACTAGGGGTGGCATTTCGATTATTTCGGTTATAACCGATCAGCCGGTTATCGATTAACCGAAATAACCACTCCCCCTACCGAAAACCGTCCGAAATAGGCTTCGGTTTCTCAGTTATCTCGATTATCGGTTAACCGACCCACTTTTAAGACCAAAACCATTTCGTCTAGCCTTCGGTTACCGGTTAGTGGATAACCGATCGGTTATTGGTTTAACCGGCCGGTTAACCGATAACCGAACCGCCACACCTAGTACAAACATCGTGGTTGAGCTGTACAACTCGCTGGGGCTCCTTGCCTTTGGGGCTGCGGAAAGTATCTATCCCGAGAGTGGGCCTCCCAGTCCCACTCCGGGGGAGGAAGCTGATCCAACGGTTACCACCGATGATCGCACCGACAGCTTGCCAATAACCGTCGTACCGGTAAGTTAGTTACGTCACTGCTAAATATTTTTTGTTGAAGCTTATAATAATTATCCATGCACGCCAATTTCTCATTAGCCATTGCTCCCCTTTCTTTCCCTCCATTTCTCTCCCAATTCCCCAAAAATTCTTAAGATTCAGGCCAAATATAGAAGACGCAGCAGATATACATCTGTCCACCATAGGTTGACCGTTTGACCCCCCTCACGTTGCATGGAGGAAGGAGAGAGAAATCTTCACGTAACGTAATACATACAAAATCAACTCTTTGCCATAATCATCGTAATCAATTTATCCGCTTATAGAACAAATCCTAACGTAACCAAACCATCAACTAACCGTTGCAACTTCCTTCCCTTGTTCCCATTAAGGCCGTCGACGTTAAATTCACCCACACCAGGAGGCGGAGGCGGAGGAGCTAATTATAATTAACGCTAATTCGTCATTAATGGGAGAAAGCATTTGGATTAGGGAACGTTCCTCGCCCTATTCCCCGTTGCTTATCCTAATTACAATCAGCTCCCTGTTGGCGTGTTGCGGCGCCAATTTCCACCGGGATGTTGACGTCACGTGGGGCCATGATCACGCCAACATCTCCGACGATGGCAGGCTCCTGACGCTGACCCTCGACCGTCTCTCCGGCGCCGGCTTCCAGTCCAAGAAGGCCTACCTCTTTGGGAAGTTCGACGTGGAAATGAAGCTTCCCCCTGGAAATACCGCCGGAATCGTCACAACATTCTACGTAAGTTTCATCTCTTAATTATAATAATGAAAATAAACATTTTGTTCATTTTTGTTGGTCAATTAACTCATGATCAAATTGTTCGAATTTCGGAATTGGGCACCTCAAGTTGACGACGGCAGAAAAACATGAAGAGATCGATCTGGAGTTCTTGGGGAATTTGACCGACGACCCTTATACCTTGCATACAAATGTGTACACCCACGAGGTGGGTCATAGAGAGCAGGAATTCAGTCTCTGGTTCGACCCGAGGCAGGACTTCCACAAATACACCATTCTTTGGAATCCTCTCATCATCATGTAAGATATTCGGGACTCTAACTTGTCCTAATCCGATTGTGAATGAAGAATTCGGTATTGAATGACAATGTTTGTTTTATACATATTAATTGAATGACAAGGTTTCGTGTTCATATATAATAACTTAACTACGAAATTGTCGGTGAAAATGCCTTTTAACTTTCAAAAATCAATATATGTCATGATGTTATGTTGTTGTTTTACTTCGATTGATTTTCTCTAACAAATGATAAGTTATATTGTGTGCAATGCGGTGCGTTTAATTTGGCCGCGGACGTGCAGTGTGTTTGTGGACGACATCCCAGTTCGAGTGTTCAACAACAGGGAAGCCGTGGGAGTGCCGTACCCGAACACGAAGCCCATGAAGATCAAGGCCAGCATTTGGAACGGCGAGAAATGGGCCACGCGAGGCGGGCTCGTGAAAACGGACTGGAACGAGGCCCCATTCACGGCCTCGTACAGAAACCTGGAGATCCAGACGATGGCGGGCTCGGTCGGGAGGAAGAACAGGCCGCAATGGCCGCTGACCCAAGGGCTGGACAAGGCCGGGAAGAAGCTGCTGCGATGGGTTCGGCAGACCCACATGATCTACAACTACTGCCACGACCCCAAGCGCCACCCCCGCGAGTGCCGCCACTTCATTGACATCTGATCTGATCGCTCCAGTCCACTGCTTCATCGGCTGTGTGGTTTTTGTGTAATGAATTGACGCCTCATTTTGGGTTGCAACGATGTAAGATCTCTTGTTGTTCCACTCCCAGTGTTTGGAGGAAAAATCATGATGAGAAGCTAGTAATGATTGACTAATACTATAGATGTGGACAATGTATATGGTTTCAAGAATAAGGTTGCAACAAAGACGCAGAGTTTAGTCGAGTATTGGTTTAGTTCGAGCTATACTCGTTAATAAACAAAGTTGAATTCAAGTTCAGCTCGTTTACTGAAATCGTAGCTCATGTTCTCTTCGGTTCAGGTCAATTCGTTAGTTTGGTTCGAGCTCAACTCATTTCTCATTCTAAATAGCCGAATCTCTAAATTTAAATATAAAATGATTTGTAAGTTGAATATCCTAATAATTTATATCGTATATATGATACATGTGATTAATGTCATTGTGAAAAAGATAGTAGTTGATCGCATGTTTATATACTTAATTGGTATCATATATTTTTTGTGTTGGATTTTCTATAGCACTCCCCGCATTTGGTTTATTAAATTCTATAGTCACTGAGGTGGGACGAGTCAAGAAGGACTTGTTTGCGGGTCTTAAGAGAGAGAACGATGTCGGTAGCCGCACGGGAAGTACTCATAAAATCAATTGCACAAGCACAGCTCACTTATGCGATGTCGGTCTTCAAAATTCCGGATGGCCTGATTGATGAGGTTCACAGTATGCTCACCAATTTTTGGTGGGGACAGAAGATTGCGGAGAAAAGAGCTCATTGGATCCGACGAGAAGAGCCGACTACTCTAAAAGAAGATGGCGGGCTGGATTCAGAGATCTCTGGGGCTTTAACATGGTGCTTCTTGCAAAGCAACTATGGTCACTTCATCTTCGCCCCGAGTAGCTGATATCCAGGTTATTAGTGGCGAAAGATCATAAAAGCTGCTCTATTTTGGATGCTCGTCTAGGCAGCAAGCCGAGCTACATCTGGAGGAGCTTACTAAGTGCAAAGACTTTGACGGGCTTCAGTGGAGGATAGGCAATGGCGCACAAGTGAAGATTTGGGGTGATCAATGACTACCCGGAGAGCCAACTTTTGTTGAGTCACCCCCGACTATTATTCCGGTGGACTCTACAGTCCGCGACCTTGTATAGATCCGGCGACCGAAAGCTGGAACGTGGATCTGGTCATCATGTGATTCCCTCCTTCCATTGCCCATACCATTCTGTCACTACCTCTGTGCGGGGCTGGGGAACGTGATCGATTTATTTGGAGGCATAGTGAGAACGGCCATTCTACAGCAAAGAGTGGGTACAGAAAGTGGCTCTCGAGCTTTATGGCAAAATAAGGGGTAGCCCCAAGTGGCGATGAGAAACTATGGAAGGCAATCTGGACTATGAAAGTATTGCCGAAAATAAAACACTTCATGTGACGGTTCACCCTGGAAATCCTGCCTGCTGGAGAGAAAGTGGCGGCAAAGAATCCGAAATGGACTGATGAGTGCCCGTTCTGCAATCAGGTAAAAACCCAAAGCCATACTTCTTCGAATACAGTTGGAGATGCAAAATACGTCGAGGAACACCATGGGCGAGAGCTTTTGCGGTAAGTGGTGTGCCGGATTGCCTAGCGTGGGTCGCGAAGGTGCTACTGTAGGAGGTTAATGAAACTGTAGAGCAATGGGCGATGGTCTTGTCGGAACTTTGGAAGGAGCGTAATGCTCAGCTCTTCAATGACACAAAACCCGAGGATGAGATTGTCCAACGAGCGATTTCTATTCTTGACGAATATCAGAAGAATCAAGGGCCGGAGGTGGTGAGTAGTGATCACCAGCCAACCGGAGTTTGGATAAGACACCCTACTGGTCATATTAAAATAAACACCGCCGCTGGGTTGTTCGCTAATGGAGGCATCAGTTTAGGGTCAGTGTTCAGGGATCATCAAGGATGTGTCCTGTCGCAGCGGCCAAAAAGGTACGTGGTTCGTATAAGATGGAGATGGCGGAAGCATAAGCAGCGGAATTTGGAGCCCAACTAGCACACCAAATTGGTTTCCAACACTCGTTTCTTGAGTTGTATTGCCTATCACTGGTTGAGAAGCTCAGGCATCCAGAAGATGATCACACTAAGGTAGGCCTTCTATGCGGCCGCATTACCAGCCTCTTCCAAGCGACGGGGTCAAGCACAGCTAGTATAAATCATGTGAGATATACGGCTAATCACACATTATGGCTCACAGTGAGACCCATTGGGATAGTAGAGAAATGTGGATAGATAGACCATCAATGTTCCTTGTAGACCAGCTTCGTCTGGACGATGTAATTGATCCTTCCAGTTAATATATTTCACAGGTTACCCATAAAAATAAAATAAAAAGAGGTGAGAATATATATTGGTACGATATAATTTGGTTGATAGTTAAATTTTAAACCGTTTATATAATGTTATTTCATAGTACTTATTATTTAACTAATACTTAATTTCATTTTTAAATTATATGAGACATATTTTCTCACAAACTCAAAGTCTTAAATTTCATATATGTTGAGATTCATAATCTAACAAACCTATTAATTATCAATAGTCTAATCACAAGCTATAGATCGATATACTTATATGTAGCGAATGGGGCGGACGAGTAACTCAATACTCATACTCGCCCCGCATTAAGTGAGGGTCGGGTCAGGTAATACACATACGGGTATGGGGCGGAGTGAGAAGACTCATCCTTATATGTTATATAAAAAAAGAGCACCATATTTAATTCGTTTACAAACAAATATTAAGAAAACACTTCATAAATTAATGAGAAATATATTAAAAGAAATAATTGAGTCTAAATAGTAGAAATACATAGTCTTATAATTTTTGAGCTGGAAATATGATTTTAGAAATGTTAAAGAAGAGACATACAAGTTGATATTGACACAACTCATGATAGAACGGATCGGAAAAAGAGAAAGGGCAGGTCAGAAGAAATATTCATGTCCAGTCTCACGCTACTCCGGATCAGGCAATACCTGCCCAAAACAAGTCGGGACGGATTAGATCACACGGATCGGATCTAAAATTGCTATCACTACTTATATGAATCTTAACAAGTTTGGCTCGCTAGCTATATTGAATAAGGAAGAAAGAAGAACATTAATGAAGATATGGGAGAGAAAGATATTTAAAGATAAGGAAGATAAAGCAATTCGTGGTGGAGAAGATATGAGAAAAAATTAAAAGATAAATAATTGAGCCGGTCAAAGCAGATTAAATCAATCTAATTCGATAGGGATTACCCTAATTGAACTTGATGTTGACGAGTTTTAGGTCAAGAACGAATTTTATCCGATTTTGTAATTGAAGGATTGGATTGGTAGCTATCATTTGACCCGCACCTAAAAACAAAACAATCAACCTGATCAAAGTGGGTTATATCAACCTAATTCGATCGGACTATCCAAGTTGAACTTGGTGTTGGCAAGTTTTAGGCTAGGAGCTAGTTTTACCCGCTTTTGTAATTGAAGGGTTTGCTCGGGCTTTGGTAATACCCGTGTGGGTACGGGGCAGGCGGGTCAACCCACTCTAACATGTTATTTGAATACAAAATACACATAACATTTGACTTTTTACGATAAAACGAAGAGAAAAAGCTTTATGAATCAAATAGTGAATAATAGAGTGGGTAATTGGGACTAATTAGTTGAAAGATCAAGTCTGAATAGTTGACAAAAGGTCAAAATACGAAAAATATGAATAGATATTGTAAGAAATTGAGATAGAATTTACCAAGAATGGGACTGTGCGGGGCAGGACGGGTCGAAAAATAGATTCGCATGCCTCACTCCATGCTACTGCGGATCGGGTAATATCCACTCCATTGCGGGTCAGATCAGGTAATACCCAACAGGGTGGCTTCAAATCGACATCCCTACCTGCACCTAAAAAACAAAACAATCGACCCTGTCAAATCAGGTTCAATTCAGTGTTGACGAGTTTTGATTCGGGGGCAAGTTTTATCCACTTTTATAATTAGTTGGTTGGGTCAGATGTGGATTTTGTTAAGAACTCGACCTAGTTAAAGGTATTTTCTTTAATTATCAGTCTTATCCAAATTCATGGGTATTCAACCTAATTGGACCCAATCAAAGCGAGTTCAACTCACTTATGTCTGGAGCGAGAGTTTCACCTGCTTTTGTAATTGACGGATTAGGATGGGTCTGGATTTTCTTAAAAACTATGTCCGCTTAATCAAAACCTTTGTGCTATTTAAACTTTAAACAATTGAGCTCATACCCATGGGTATTCAATATAATTGGCCCCCGTCAAAGTGAGTTGAACTCAGTGTGGAAGAGTTTTGGGTTCAGAGAGGTTGGGTGTGGATTTTGTTAAAAAGTCGGGCAGCGTTTCTTCCGACCCATATCAAAAAAATTAAATACTGGTCAAAGTAGGTTCTGTGTTGATGAGTTTTGGTTCGAGATCGAGTTTTACTTGATTTTGTAATTAACGGGTTCTATTAGTGTGGATTTTGTTGAAAATTCAACGCGCTTTCAATCCGACTCGGATCGAACACAAAACAATTGATCAGGTCAAAACTAGTTCAACCTGGTGTTGACGAGTTTCGGATCAAGAGCAAGTTAAACCCGGTGTCGACGATTTTTCCGTCGGGATTGAATTTTACCCTCTTTTTTATTGATGTGTTCGGTCGGGTGTATATTTTTTTTGTTAAAAACTCTCTCTGCTTTCCATCTGACCCGCAACCAAATAACAAAACAACAAATTAAATCTGGTGTTGACAAGCTCTGGTGCAGGACGAGTTTTATCGCTTTTGTAATTAGCAGGGTAGATTGAGTGTGGGTTTTTTTTTTTTAAAAAAAAAACTTGGTTCGCTTTACATTCGACTCGCATAAAGAAAACAAAACAATGTCGAGTATATCTTACTCTTTTAAAACTTTTGAAAACACATTTCTATTGCCAAATGGTATAATAAACGATACAGTACATGATAAATCGATAATTTCATATTCATTTACATTCTGAATTCCTAAAATCCGTGCTAGTTAAGATTTTATTTTTATATTGGGCGCGTGTTACTCATTTATTAACATATTAATTACCCCATAGAAACTGCCAACTGCCATATATATATATAATATATAATAGCCTTTCTAGTTCTTAGACTAGAGAGAGAGAGAGAGAGAGAGAATTATTGATCCATGGAAGGTTCAGAGCTAACAAAGCTAGGGAGCTCTCTCCCAGTGGCTTGCGTTCAAGAGCTTGCCAAGGAACCCCTCCGCAAATTAGGCATCCCTCCCCGCTATATCCGTCCCGATCAACACCCTCCCAACGCCACTTTACCCCTTCAGCTTCCTGTCAT